TATTAAAATATTTATTGTATACTGCTTATAAAGGCTAAAGGATGGAACTTATAGTAACACTTATCATTAATTGATTAAACACAGTCACTGTTTAACCTGACCACTAATTCACACCTCTAGCTTGGTCAGGTGATCTTAATCTCTTTAAACAGTTGCTGAAATTGTAGTATTTAGTCTGTATACATTAACATAGGTTATTCACAACCATAATGAAACTGGCTAAAGAAAATGACTAAAAACTGCTTAATGATCATTATACTCTTTTGTTAAATTCATTAGTAAACACTGACAGTGTCGATGTAGCCAAAACATGCTGCAGGGAATCACGCAATTCCAATAATTGGATGGTTTGTGAGTTTTTTAAATGTTAGACCCTGCAGGGAAATACATTAAAAAGGGGAGAGAGTGCATTAAAAGGCCATGTAAACATCTTGTTATTTGCATATCCTGCTGTTTAAAGAGGTTAAAACATGGCCTTGAACATTATCTTTTACTTCATAACAAGCCCTTGACTTGCTGGTACCATTACATTAACATTTCTCCTATCAGATTCAAGGTTTTTGGGGAGCAAGGATGTTTTCAACAATGTTGATCAATATAGGTTTTTTTTATGAATTAAAGCACAAAGACAAGTTGTCTTACCATAGTTTGGGCAGCAGACCTTGAGCCAGCAGACGGAGGAGAGCACAGTGAGGTTGGTCAGACTGCACAGGCCAAACAAAACGCCACAGAAGGCATAGATAGTACAGGCCATCTTATTAAACATCCACCTGAATGGAGAGAGAAACATCTTTGAACTTGATTTGTTACTGACATCCTGATCTCTCTGCAAAATCCTTCTGGTAAATTACACAATTCACACCCAGTAGATGAAACAGGTAATCCGTTTTCTAGCTTTCCCCTGGGTCATTTACAACTGCCGCGAGAGCAGCGATGCATTGTGACCCAATCATGGCACATATGACAGCTGCATGTTCAGGGAATCAGAGCAGAAACCAGGGAAGACCATGGGATGTAGTAGGAGGGACAAGGCACCATGTGTTGCAAAATTTCATCAGTCATGTCTTTTTTGCATTTAATTTGTTTATATTTTATGGAGACATTATGCCCCTCTGCAGGGCCGTAGTTAGCACTTTATTCACCTGAAAAAGGTTTTATGTTTTTCAGATTTATTCATATTTTCTTTAATCAAGTGGATAGAAAAGTAAGGGGAACCAAATTAAATGAGAGGCAAAGAAGTAAATGCTTTCTCCTCCATTTATAAACTTTTATATCAATATAGAAAATAATGAATTACCAATTCCATTGTGATTTGCTGTGCTCTTTGATCCAGTCAGTCACTTTAGGAGAATATTAAATAGAACATTATTACTGTAACAGAGGAGGTGGAAGCACTTTTTCATCCCTGAGAGGATGGCTGCTGATAGCCTCAGTGACCCTCACCTACAAGGTGGGGCATGCTTTATGAAGCCTGAGAGGTGAAACTCAGGGTCCACAAATCACTCGCTACTGCTTCTAAAGCTTAGAGTGGCTATAATCTATGTTTTCATAATAACATAGAGGAAGGAGGAAAGGAGAAGACCTAGACCTGCTCTATTTGAAAAG